CTGGATTTGCATCAGATATTTTCTGGAGAAATTTTTAAAAAATAATTTGAAAAATTTTACCAACGACGTTCTATTAGAGGAGAAAAAAAATATTTTATCAAGTGTCTAAGATATTATTTGCTAATTTATATTTAATTTTGTTTCAAATCATCCTCAACTAGTATTGTTTAGAGTGAAATTATTTTAAGGAAAAATCTAAGCTCGCTATTAGTGTGATTTCAATATTCCAAAACAAAAAAAATTCGTTACTGATTATTGTGTCTGCTTCACAAGTACTTTAACATAACAAATTAATACAAGAAGCACAAACGATATAATGAAGACACGTGTCGGTCACAAAGTGTATAGAATTTTCTAAACTTAAACCAGTCAACAAAAATTAACATTTCAGGATTAGTTAACAACTATTGTACAAAATGTTTTCTGAATCTATAGTTTACTATTTGCGAGCCTTCTCAAATATAAAAACAAATGTTTTCGCAGCATTTTCTAAAAAACGGGAATGATATCGATGTCTTAGTGATGTTAGTGAATGGTGAGATATCTTTACGAGAAAATTATAACTTAATCATTACCCTGGATCATTATACAAAGAAATTATAGGTAGAAGAAATAAGGCACCTTTATTCATATACGGTAGTTGTCAATACAATAGGTACCATTATTCCAATAAGACTTCATTTAACATAGGATTCTTACTCTCCCATTTAGATTATCATAATACTCTACGTGGCTCGTGCGTCAAGACGATGTAAGAATACGAAAAACTTTTCCAAAATTATTACATTCCTTTTTACTACAGTGTTACTAATTTATTACGAAAAACCACGTATTTAGTAAACAATATTTTTAAGCATTAAAAATCTTAGATAATTTTAATTTTATTTGTTAACTTATAAACAACAACTATATGAAAAACTAAAGATATTTATTTAAACATCTAAGTAGTTTAAATTTCATTTTCAACTCGTCAGTCTTTTTCTTATTATTTGTTACTACCTAGTTACAAATAAACTTTTTAGTATAATCTTTAACTACAGTTTCCCGACACCCATGGCATCTGTATGTAACTGAATGCAACTTAAGAGCATGCTCAAACAATTGAATCTTAGATCGTAGAATTTAGAATTCAGAAACAGACTGGGAGAGTGTAGATCGATTATAATAACACATTATGAATAAAGTTAATCTTTTCATTACTTTTATTTTGTGGGAAAGTTTATAGTTATCTATTATCATAATCTTCTATATATATATATAAAAGAAAGTTGTGTTAGTTACACTATTTCTAACTCAAGAACAGCTGCAGGGAAGTGGTTGAAAATTGGCAGGGAGATAGCTTAGAACCAGGAGACGGATATAGGGTATTTAAATCTGTTTGATCGAAAAAAAAACTTTTAAATTTCAATATCTGGTTATTTATGGCCTCTAGAGTTCGCTCAGTCAGCTATACATATATTTATATTATAAAAACTAATTTCGAAATCAACGCGGACGAAATTTCCGGTAAAAACTAGTATTAACGTAAAGAGGTGATCTTACATATAAATGGAATACTTTTTCACTTTAACATATCATGACTGTGCTCAAGCTAAACTTATAAAACACTATGTGAATAAAATAAATATTATTAATTGCATCTATTATTGAAATTTTTATCACGACAATACTCTAATATACAAAGTGTAGAAGGCTTTTTTACGGATTTCCTCTGCCCGTGATCACGGCCGCTAAAAAGTAACCGAAACGTCGAGAGTATGCAGTTTTTTACAAAAATAAAGCACGCATAGTATATCCGAAAAATATTAGATTAATTTAAATGAATAAAACTCGTAAAAGTCTTAAATAGGTCTCATTGAGAAGGCTAGTTTCTTAGTCAAATATAAGTAATAATAATAATCATTTTTAGATCCCGTTGTGCTTTGTTATCACTCATCGTTTATTGTTTTTCATGGTCCCGTGGTCGAGGGACAGGCTTCTGATTTATAATGTATTGTTTGTGAATTCCGACTCGAGATTAAAAGATACATATAGCTCGGGCTAACGAGAAGAAACTTATATAGATGTAGAATAGACACTGAGTGAGTAACAGAACTAAAGTTATCAAATGTGTATTTAAATAATAATAAAAAGAAATTCTTAAACATACGTCGTATATAGTGTCTATTGAAATTCATAGAAGTATTAAACATATAGCTACTTAAAAAGTATCTACTTTTTCTTATTGTTTACTACGAATTTACTTACGGATGTTAAAAGATGGAACAATTATTATTAAGTAAGAAATCAAAATTTTTCGATTTACATAAATAAAATTTATATAAGCTTGAATAAACAAAAATATAAACATATATTTTGCATTAAGAGATCATATAATACGTCTTTGTAGGCGATCACAATAAGACAGAAGCTAGAATAATTTTAAAGTATCGTATGGTCAAATAATCAATAATATCATATGAAATAGTTGAAGATATATTATAAGGGAGAGTAATAAAACGATACGCTGTTCATAAATCAGACCACGAAAGAGTTTAAAGCGGCCGAGGCTGGCGTGACCGGACGGTGTTTAAGCTGGGGCGCCATTATAATTACGATCAATATTATATATGATATATATAAAGAATGTCTCACATTAATCTACCGCTATCGACGGGTTTGACCCGGGATGCGAATTTACGAACATATGAATTAAAACAAAACCGTCCTTAATACGAGGGCACTGAGACGTATAATGAAATACACAGGATCATTGGTCGATTGAAATAAGACGGCCTAAAGTGATAAATATTGTTAAGTAGCTTCATAGCGATACGAGAGAACGAGACAGGTTTCTGTGTGATGTAGAATGTGAGAGAAAGAGACGGAGATATAGTTGAGGAGTTAAGGTTGAACAAAACAAACATAGCGGGGCAATTACATGCGCCCGCGGTGCGTGCAGTGTACTTAGGGTGATCGGAACATTCAAGTGGTTCTCGTTTAATGTAAATATAATTCATATTTAAGATACACCCTGTATAATAAGAAAGATAAACTTAAAATACATTTAGCAATGAATAGAATAGAATATTAGGACTTAAAAGAATTATTGTGATACATTTAGATGTTTTTTTACTATAAATATAACTAATATATACTTTATTCAAATTCTTCGACAATTACTGTATAGCAGGTGTTCATTTTACATTTTAAGTTATTTTATAATGACAGCTCCTTAAAGTAAATAGAAATACATTTATAATTCAGAATAAAGGCTGTACGTTATATGAAATGCAAACTAAACCGATATTAAGACTATTAATTAAACTAACCACGGAAATTGAGATATTAAAAATAACGTTTAACATTGCCTAATAAATTTAAACGTTTGTAAAATAGTCAAATTAATATTTGATGGTTATTTAGTCGAACCCCATTTAATGGCTTCACTTAACTAAAAACTATTTATTGATAGGTTCCAAATATATTGCTTGAGAAAAAATTTACAATATTAATTGAAAATAATCTTAGTTTCATAAAATAATAAGTAGATTTAGATAAACCCAATTCCAATTCACATACCTTTGATGTATTATTTTTCTAAATTGTTACATCTCACACTGTTTTTGTGTAAAATTGCATAAGAAAGGAATTTTCATATTATGAGGTTCTGGGAGTTTTGTTAATAAGGATTGGAAAACAAATATTTAAACTAATATCAAAGCCTCGCATACTTAATGAAATATATTCCAAAAGTTCACAAAGTAACCTTTTATTTTAATTAAGATCCAATACAAATGTGAACGAACAGAACTTAAGTCAACGTGAGTTATGCTAATATCGCTATATATGCCCAAAAGCATTTTATTTCAGCAACCGACGGGCCGACTGGCCACTCTGGATCGACTTCAAACACACCGCTAATGGTCGATATTTAAAACATCTATAAACCAATACATACAAACGATTATATACCTTAAAAATATTCAATATAGATACAGAAATCCCCTGCTTATAATACAGCGCGATTCATTAAACAAACAAATATTTGTTTTAGCACTTCGACAATAATATGCATACAGATCTCTGCGAAAATTACTTCAAACGAATAAAAGCCTTATTTTCGTACAATACAGGTGTAAATGGCGTAACAAAGATATACGCTGATTAGAAAAGTGCGTTATTTAAGACCGGCGATGTATTTTTTCGCAAGGGTTTGCTCCTAAAAGCATTATTATCAGTTGCAACATTGATAAACGCTTGGGAAATATTAAGTAAGATCCAGTACCACAGCCTTCTCTGTATAAAAGTTCGTGTTATTTATTCATCTTCTGTCCGTTTATCTCGCCGGCCGACGTGTTGCATTCAATGTCTCTTAATGTATCCTCCGCTAATAATATTTTGAGATTATCAGTAGAATGGGACTTTATGAAGCTCTTACATTATTTTTGTTTCCCATATTCGTAATCGTTGTTTTTATTTAATAGTATCGTCGCGTACATTTTATTAAATATCTGTATCATTAAATATGAAAGATCTTATATTGATGAAATATTTTAGAGACACAAACTTTCTCTCAATTATACTTCCGATTTCAGATTACTTAGGGTATAAACAGATAAATCTGATTCGATAGTAAAGTGATATTTTACAAGGTATAGATAAATTTCAAGTCAGCTTCCTGTATACAAAATTTTATCAAAATCGGTTCAGCCGTTTGAGCGTGAAAAAGTAACAAACATACACACACACTCACAAATTTTCGCAATTATAATTTTAGTAGGATATACTAAGTGAAACGTTAACATCGAACGGCACTTAATATGTAGTTCGACAGTAATGAAAATTTAAATCAGTTAAACAAAATATAAAATGCCCAATAATTCGGAACCATTAAACGAACATTTATATTATCGTTAAGAATAATTTAAAATCTTAATAATCGAGAACGTTTCAGAAACCTTTATAATGGTTGAGGTTGAGTCAACAACCGCTAACGCATCACTCAGAGTGTTTATTTTTCAATTGAAGCCGTCAGCGGCTGCGGGTAACATCGGGCCAGGGTACTGACTTAGGGTCGCCACACACATCGCTGACAGTTTACACACGCCCAGCACAGCCCCGCACAGATCCTCACAGACCCACACAGAGCCCACTACTTGTAAGGGATAGGCAGAAACATATCTGGTTGTATAATTGATATTTGTGAACTGTGTTGTGGACCGAGCGCCGATTAATTGTATGTTTGGACATGTTATGATACAGAGCCGTTATTTATACTGTTTGGGTTATTGATTTATTTAGTTTTTATTCAAGAATTTTTTTAACAGAAGCTACATATATTTAGTTTTTGTTTGAATAGTGCTTGTATTAGTGAATAAATAATATAAATTGAGAATTTTTTATCGACAGCCCTTGAATCCTTCGCGGCGTTTATGCGAGGCGTCGTGAACCTACAATTAGGCTCTCGCCAAAAAGACTTCGACGTTCTGCTAATACGCACTTCACTAACTAGTTATACTGTTAACAATATTGTAGATACAGCTCGAACGAGGAACATAAAGCTTTATCTCAAACTGTATAAGGAACCGTACAAAGTTTGCATGAGGAGAGTACCACCGGAGAAGTGAACAGAACTGAATTGCGTTTAAACCACGAAAAGAAAACTCTAGTTCATAAAAAATAAAGTTCAAAATACATTTTACATTATATTCTGGAAGTATCGGTTAAGTTGGACATCATTGTTTATTATTAGAGACGATCTTAAAGTTATTACATCAAAAATTACCGAAAAAATTGCAGGTGAAAATTGATTTTTATAACCGGGCCGAGACGTGTCCATTGTAATAAGTGCCGGTATAAAAATTGAGAATAATAACTAGTGCTTATAGAAGGCCATCATTAAATATTGCAATACATTCTTAGTCGATACGATCTTTAATGTATGGTAGCGAATAAATATAGTGTTAATAATTGACCTATTACATTACTTCTTATACTGACAATCAATTACTCGGTAACATAAGTTACATTTCATACAAAGTGTTAGTAGTTTCAATATAAATGTAATTTAAATTCAATCTAGTACATTCAGCGTAGTAGGTAATAACCGAAATTTAATATCGACCACACAGGAGGCAGTCACCGCTGCGGGCTACGGCAGTTATAACGAACAAGCTCATTACTCGATTGCATTACACTTTATTATCGAAATAATGGTAAATATACAGATTTAAAATATTTTAATATAGTATAAGAATTATTGAATTATTTGAATAGAATGATGATACAACACGATCAGTTCAATGGAATTAAAATGTAGTTATTATGGTATAAAGTATATCAATCTACTGTCGAGATTGATCTGTCTTTAATCTGTATTGATAACGTAACGATAAAGGGAACGTCTCAAAAGATTCACTAACACGAGAAGACAGCCGTAATAGCTGTTCGCTGCTCGTGAAGTGAAACCTCACAAAAATCATTCTGTTTCGATTGACTATAGCAGTAGTACTAAAAACTTTAACCATATACTGTATGAATTTTTTTATTGAGAATTCAAATGTCCCAAATAATTACGTTTTTAAGATAACGAGAAATAGACGAACTGGTAACAGTACATTTAAATTAATAATTTTTTTATTAACATTCATTGACTATAGAACCAATTATAAATTTGACCAGACTGACAGATTATAGTAGTAATAATCCTTAGTGAACTTTATTCAAATTCTATGAGAAATAAATGTTCAGAAATAAACTTAATAATTTATAGTACCTACTGTTATTAGTCTTATCGCTTATACATCTTAGGATTATCAGTGAACACCTTCAACATACATAATACTTACTGACTACCATCACGCAACGATTTCGTGGTTTTTTACGACTTACCTGAAAAAAAGAAATAAATATTAATAAACAAGAGAACTCTCATGAGACACCTCATTAAAAACCAATTTCTTATAACAATACGTGTAGAGATCTTCAAATCAAGTAACTCATACGGACAGACTTCAGAGCTGATAGGCATGCATCATGTATTTAAATAATTAAAAAGCCATCACGTTTAATGGCGTCAAAATCAATTCTCTCCCCGGCCAGTGCCACGAGCCTGCGAGCGCGGCGACCAGACAATAATAATAATCGGATTGATTTGTTGTGTTTATATAGCATAGAACAAGGTTGTAAACGCCGTGGGCTTATTGTTTTTTAATGGCCGCCCCGCCCGGGTTCGCCCCCCGATCAATCATACCCGGTTCTCGTAAAAACATCTCCGCACCGAATTCCCCGCGGCGATACGGACATTCCTTAGAAAGTTTTTAAAAGTACATTTAAATTAATAACGAGAGGGTAACGCGATGCTCTTGAACGATTTGGAAGAGGTCACTTTACGGACGGAAGATACTACATCATACATACATAAATATACCTACATAAACAATTATGGTTTATGGCCCAAATATTAACCAAATATATCAATGATGAACGCTTAATCAAATAATATGAATATAAATATACGAAGCAGGCTGGAAGTCGCTTAATATAAGGTACGACGACTGAGAAGAACCCAAAGTTTACTTTTAATAATTAATTGGTTGCATTAATATATTCAACATCATTAAAAATATATCATTTTTGAATGAAAAAACAAACTATTTGTAATACTAAAGAACTTTTTTGAATTGTTATAAGAAACCTCTATATGAATACGGTTCATAAATATTGATAAGTATTTTCGTTATCAGTGGATCTTAAAGCGTCAGCTGTTCTACTTGTCACCAGTCACCAGAAAACAGACAGAAGACAGCAGACCGCTTGTTTATTACATTATTATATTCATGGCATCATTTAATGATATCATATTTTAGTTCATTGAAGTCATTTAACACTTATGTACTCACGTTAAAGTTATAACAATATAAAGTAAATTATATGAGCTGCAGTTTATTTGTCAACTATTCGATTTTAATTACGTTACTGTGTTATCACTAAGGATAGAAGGCTTTAATTTTCTTTTTTCTGTACTTATAGATGCAAACATACTAGTTTTCAGTAACTAAGTTATCACAAAATTACAGATATGTGATAGAAATTAGTTTATTTTTAATATTCTTATTATTGTACAATGAATCAAAAAGTTACAAAACAAAATCATTTCTCACTATTCCCATTGCTACACTTTCAATACTATTTAGAAGCAAAAATATTACCATATACAATGATATCCTTAAAGCTAAAACAAAAAGGAACTTCATCTCACATTAAGATATTGAAAGTGACCCTAATACACCGCTGTTTTGGAGATCAGGTCAAAAAACCGATACATTTAATTAATGATCGTTTTGTTTGTCCGTCGACATGTGTTCGCAATTAACTAAACCGTGGCGACATTCAAAAGGGAGCGGGCACCTGTCGCCACCAATTTCAGGTAATATTGTGTGTTTTCTATCTATCAACTAATTAATATAAAAGCCTTTATAATTTAAAGTAATAATATACGTCGCTTTTGTTTAATTTAAAACACCATTAAAATAATATATGTGGAGCTGTCGTCGACGTACTACATCAATCATAGCGATTAAAAAACTACAACATTTATTATATAAAAACTATTTAAAACTCTGCTTTTGTGAATGTGTACATTCAGTAGCAATTTAAAAAGGGACAATTGTGAAACGATTTTCACTTGTAAGTTTGTATTATAGAATATTATAAAAAAAATATATTAGAGATATTCTAAACGTGACATTACCTTTTATAGACACCTGAAATCTTTTAATTCACAAAAACGAACGTGTGCCCAAATTTTTTATATTTTCCAGACATGTAATTTCCATAGCTATGACAAAACAAAACTTCAACACATTTTGTTCATTCTCTACGCAGAATCAAGTTACTCTTTAATATAAAACACAAAACGACATAACCGAAATTAGACAAATCACTCGAAAAATTTAAGGTTTTTTTAAGCAATTGTAATTCTGATATATTTCTCACATAAAGCTAAAAAAATTAATATTCCAACATGAGTAGGAAAGCAGTGTATAGTATTAGAACGAGCCCAATGAATACGAAGTAACATAAAGTTAACAAGTCGGCTTAACAGCGCCATAAAACGATTTATCGGAACCACACCAATTACAGAATATCGATTACTTATTACGTTTTATAAACAACGAACAATTAATAAACAATTTGTTAAAAAAAAAAACATATACGAGTCTCGTTAAAATTTTGACGAGCACCTGCTAATACTGAATGTATAAACGAGGCATGTTGACTTGGAAGACTTTCGTTTAATCTTATGCTGGTTTAATGTTCCCGTGTTTTATATTTATCGCAATTGTATTTATTTATGATGTGAAAAAAAATATTCATATGATTTATAACTCTTATTTTTTGCTATTTAATATAGGAACTCCTATTTAATGATCTATCTTTAAAATCGACAAAAAATAATGACATGATCGCAATAATACTATTAATGATGATGAAATACTCATTGATATTTAACATAACCGCTTATTACTAGTTACAGTATTCCTACTACAAGTCTCTATTCGGCAGAAAGTTCGGAGACCGAGGCACTAAACCTTTAAGAATAGATATTCGTTCAGTTACACATATAATACATTCTGTATGCACGATCTATAAAATTAAGTCGAATAAGTTCTAGGAAATCTGGGATCGTGCGAAATTCTCTTTACAGTTAGTTACACATTATATTGTCTATTTTATAACATACTAGCGTAAATGAATTGTTATTATCAATAAACAGCTGTCAAATGTATATATTACAGTTAATTCAACATACAAAACGGTCTCCACTCACACCATGTACCTACTTATATATGACGAAAATAAATAGGAAATAAATTTAAATGGCTTTAAATTATCGACAAACATAACGAATAGAGAACCGTTATCGGTAGCTGTTTCAAATAATGAGTAATGAGTTGCTCAGAACGCAGGATAATGACTAGTCGCGGGCGAGACTAACGTACATCCAAAACACTTAAACAAACACGCTTAATTAGTTGTATGATTGATTTTAAACCAGAGGCGAGCACAGAAGCCGCTACCGACAGTCGTGCTTCTAATTTAGATCGTAATTGTTCTATGCATATCATTAAAGATCCGTCAATGTCAAACATAGAGCAAAAAAATATATAATTGATCTT